TGGCAAATTGGCTTAGTTGCACCGAGAGAGTGGTGGTGGATGGGTCGATATTGACCTGGAAAGATGTAGGTAGTGGAGTCCCACAAAGCTCTGTCCTTGGACCGGTGCTATTCAATGTCTTCATTAGTGTCTTGGATGAGGGCATGGAGAGCACCCTGTCCAAGTTCACAGATGATACCAACTTATGGGGCAAAGTTTACACACCACAGGGTAGGGAACAGATCCAGGCGTATCTGGACAGGTTGGAAAAATGGGCAGAACAAAATAGGATGCAGTTGAACAAAGACAGGTGCTAAGTGCTACACCTGGGCAAAAAGAACCACCAACACACTTAGAGGCTGGGGGATGTGTGGGGAGTCGGTGGAAAAGCAAGGGCAACATTGGACCCCTGCTAAACCAGATGGGACAACTGACAACCGATGCCCAGGAAAAAGCCACCTTACTAAATGGGTACTTTGCATCTGCCTTTCACAAGTCCCATGGAATGCCCCACCCATCACAGGACAGGGACGCCTGGGTGAGCGAGATTCCTTGCCCTCCATCAATGCTGACCTCATGAAGGAACACCTTGAGAGGCTGGAAACATTCAAGTCAGCCGGCCCTGACAATCTACACCGCCAGGTACTCAAAGAGCTGGCTAGCATCATAGCTCAGCCCCTGGCATGGATCTTCAAGAACTCCTGGTGCTCTGGTGAAGTGCCCGAAGATTGGAAGAAGGCCAATGTGGTGCCTATCTTCAAGAAAGGGAGGAAAGTGGATCTGGCAAACTACAGGCCCATCAGCCTGACCTCTATCTTGGGAAAGGTCTTAGAAAAGATTATCAAGAAGGCTATTCTTAATGGACTGGCCGATGGCAACATCCTGAGGGACAGCCAGCATGGGTTTGTTGTGGATAGGTCTTGCTTGACCAATTTTATTTCCTTTTATGACCAGGTGACCTATCACCTGGACAAGGAATAGGAGATTGATGTCATATATCTTGACTTTAAAAAAGCCTTCGATCTGGTATTTCATGATCACCTCTTGGCAAAACTGGCCAACTGCAGCCTCAAGTCCACCATGATCCACTGGCTGGGGAATTGGCTCCCTGGTCAGACCCAGAGGGTGGTGGCTGACGGAAGTCAATCGTCATGGTGCCCTGTGACCAGTGGGGTCCCCCAAGGCTCTGTCCTTGGACCTCTATTGTTCAACATCATTAATGATGTGGACACTGGAGTCAGAAGTGGACTGGCCAAGTTCAGCGATGATACCAAACTTTGGGGTAAAGCATCCACACCTGAGGACAGGAGGGTGATCCAGGCTGACCTCAACAGGCTCAGGAAATGGGTGGACGAGAAACTGATGGTGTTTAACACCGAAAAATGCAAGGTTCCTGTAGCAGGGCACTAAGGTGCCTGCTACTCTAGGGGTAGAGATAAGAACCCAGGTGCAGGTTGCCGGGACAACTAGTTAATGAGGGGGCTAGTGGCCCACACCTGCCAGAGGTCAGCTGACTGGAAGGGGCAGGGCGTGGCCCACATATAAGTACCAGGGCTGGCGCCAGGAGAGCAGTTCTCTGCTGGCAGGCAAGAGGGAAGGAGCTCTGCCTGAGTGAGCAAGGAGGAGAGGCCTGACTGCACTAGCAGCTCCTGATACTGGTGAGGGATGGAGCAACACTGGGGTGGCTTGAATGATATTTTAGCCAGGCGGCTTGAATTTATGTTATAGCCCAGGGGCTTGTGTTTTGTTTGCTGTTTAAAACTGGTGGCTTGGGTTAGGCTATTAGGGGATGGAGGCGGCCTCATTGTGGGGACCCACTATGGAGTGGGGACCCCGGCACTAGTGAGGGCACAGCTTTTGGGGACACAGACCCCGGTGCCAGTGAGAGTGCAGCTTTTGCAGGGCTGTGGAAAGCCCAGGCACCAGTGAGGAGCAGTGTGAGTCAGGGCCACGGAGAGCCTGAGCGCCAGAGAGGGTGCAGAGTGAGACAGGGGCTGCGGAGAGCCCAGGGAGGACAAGGGGGTCAAACTGTAATGAGGCCCGACACTAGAGAAGGCTAGAGCCTCGGAGTCTAACCCTGTTTGGTGGGTTTTGGACAGGGAGGCCTAGCTAGAGAAGGCAGGGGTCAGGCCCAGGTAGGCGAAAGACCCCGACATACAAAATACAATAGGCAGTCTCCCGCTCACAAGAACAACAACAATTTCCATCAAGACGTGGCAGGTGAGTAGAGGGTGGGACATAAGAGCTCCAAAGCAGACTCCAAGGGCACCCCACGTAAGGCGCAGATTAACAAGGAAGATGGCACTGGGGAGGGTGACCTGTTACAGTTCTCCACCTTGTGAAGAAAAACGTGCAGCATGCTTATAGGCTTGGCTAGTGAGGGCACAGCTTTTGGGGACACAGACCCCGGTGCCAGTGAGAGTGCAGCTTTTGCAGGGCTGTGGAAAGCCCAGGCACCAGTGAGGAGCAGTGTGAGTCAGGGCCACGGAGAGCCTGAGCGCCAGAGAGGGTGCAGAGTGAGACAGGGGCTGCGGAGAGCCCAGGGAGGACAAGGGGGTCAAACTGTAATGAGGCCCGACACTAGAGAAGGCTAGAGCCTCGGAGTCTAACCCTGTTTGGTGGGTTTTGGACAGGGAGGCCTAGCTAGAGAAGGCAGGGGTCAGGCCCAGGTAGGCGAAAGACCCCGACATACAAAATACAATAGGCAGTCTCCCGCTCACAAGAACAACAACAATTTCCATCAAGACGTGGCAGGTGAGTAGAGGGTGGGACATAAGAGCTCCAAAGCAGACTCCAAGGGCACCCCACGTAAGGCGCAGATTAACAAGGAAGATGGCACTGGGGAGGGTGACCTGTTACAGTTCTCCACCTTGTGAAGAAAAACGTGCAGCATGCTTATAGGCTTGGCAGTGCTACGCTGGCTAGCACTATGGATGAAAGGGACTTGGGTGTCATGATTGACCGTAAGATGAACATGAGCTTTCAATGTGATGCTGTGGCTAGTAAAGCGAGCAAAATGCTGGCTTGCATCCATAGATGCTTCTCAAGCAAATCCCAGAATGTCATTCTCCCATTGTGCTTGGCCTTGGTGAGGCTGCAGGTGGATTACTGCATCCAGTTTTGGGCTCCACAATTCAAAAAGGATGTGGAGAAGCTTGAGAGGGTGCAGAAAAGAGCCACATGCATGATCAGAGGTCAGGAAAACAGATCTTACGACAACAGGCTGAGAGCTATGGGACTCTTTAGCCTGGAAAAGTGCAGGCTCAGGGACGATCTGATGGCCACCTATAAGTTTATAAGGGGTGTTCACCAGGATCTGGGGGAACGTTTGTTCCCCAGAGTGCCCCAAGGGATGATAAGGTCGAACGGTTATAAACTCCTGCAAGACCGTTTCAGGCTTGACATAAGGAAGAACTTCTTTACTGTCTGAGCCCCCAAGGCCTGGAATAGCCTGCCATTGGAAGTGGTTCAAGCACCTACTTTGAACGTCTTCAAAAGAAATTTGGATGTTTATCTTGCTGGGATCCTATGACTCCAGCTGACTTCCTGCCCCTGGGGCAGGGGGCTGGACTCGATGATTTTCTGACGTCCCTTCCAGCCCTAATGTCTATGAAATCTGTCTTCTCAGCAGCACAGCAGTGGAAAGGGATCTTGGAGACATAGTTGCCTCCAAGATGAACACGAGTCATCAATGTGACAAAGTGATCAACAAGGCTAATTGCACTTTATCATGCATTAGCAGATGCATGACAAACACGTCCAGGGAGGTGATGCTTCCCCTCTATGTGGCACTGGTCAGGCTGCAGTTGGAGTACTGCGTCCAGTTTTTGGTACTGCACTTCAAGAGGGATGAGGAGAATCTTGAAAAAGTTCAGAGGAGGGCCACTCATATGGTCAGAGGCCTATAGGCAAGGCCCTACGAGGAGAGACTGAGGAACCTAGATCTCTTCAGCCTTCGCAAGAGAAGGCTAAGAAGTGATCTTGTGGCTGCCTATAAATTCATCAGGGGAGGGCAGCAGGGACATAGGAGACGCTCTATTTACTAGGACACCGCCTAGAGTAACTAGGAACAATGGCCACAAATTGATGGAGAGCAGATTTAGGTTGGACATTAGAAAAAACTTCTTCACATTAAGGGCTGTCAGAATCTGGAATGGTCTTCTGAGGGAGGTGGTGCTCTCCCCTACCTTGGGGGTCTTCAAGAGGAGATTGGACAAGCACCTAGCTGTGGTCATCTGACCCCAGCACTCCTTTCTGCCTAGGGCAGGGGTCGGACTCGCCAGGCAAAAGGCAGGGGGTTGGACTCGATGACCTATTGAGGTCCCTTCTGATCCTAACATCTATGAACCCTTAAATATGAATAAAAATATATGCAAGAATGATATAGTATTGATAAGGAACTTTCTTTGGTAAGGATAGTATATAAATGTAATAAGTGACTATATAAATAAAACAAATACTTAAAAAAGCAGCCAATACTAAAGCTGATTCAAGCCTAGATCTGTTCAGAATGTGAATTAATAACTTTGTGAAAAAAACCTACACATTATTGTGATAAAAATGATAATAATGAAATAACTTTCTAAGGTTTGAATATTGTCATTATATAATGGAAATAATGACATTACGTAATGGATTATAATTAAACCCAGGTGGAAAATGACCTTCTATGACCTCCCCTCAAAATTAAGTTTTTTGACAGTCATGATTAATGGTAAGGCGTTCTGTGCATGGTTTGTAAACCTAAAACATAGTTGTATGTTTCAAGTTATAATTTTGAACAATTATCTGGTTCCAGATGCAAGAAGTTGAGATATACTTGTGTGCAGCAACAGTGAATTCCAGTAGCTCAAGAAGCTGTTTATACAGGTTCTCTATTAATGTTATATAGCTAAATAATTTATCTGCCCTTTCTCTAAAAAGACACTTTAAAAAGTAAATATGCACAGCAGCAGCATTACTGGTATTGATGTTGTTTCTATTCTTCTGTAAAACAAAAAAATTCTTTCAAGAGCTCCTACCTGTAAAATTTCTTCAATGCAGCTGTTATCTCCTGTTCCACTTTCCTGTAAACAAAGGGAGGAGAACCATTTTTAAAGAAGAAATAAAAAATAGCTGGGTTGAGATGTTGTCAAATTAGATGCATTCAAGACTCATTCACATTTTTTTTTCAAGACAAGGCCAAGTACTTTAGTACTTTACAAGACTAAGCATCAAAAAATTTTTTTTTCTGTATTAAACCTCTAAGTTAGTTTTTATACATGCTGAAGGAAAATACAATAGTGTAATGTTGTTTAAATGACAGTGACCACAGCATATTTTTATTAATATATATATGACATAAAAAAATCTGTAAGATTCTGCTTAAGTTACATTGGGAGCAGTTAATTCTACCCTGAATATACATTACATACACACACTTAGATTAAATATATACATCCTATGTACATTAAACTCTTTATGTAGGTTAAACTCCTGTTTATCATTCAGACTAAAGGATTGTACCCATAAAGACTGAAGGATTTGGCCCATTTTAACCAAGGACACTATAAAATGCTATTGAATCTTCTTCAAAAGCTAGTGTTTAAATTGAAGCTGTATAGTATGAGTATATATGAGTTCTAAAAGGATGACTTTGCAAACCTTACAACTATGAACAGTTGCTGATATAGGTCCCAGCCCAGCCCATGCTTACGTCCCACTGAAACTAGAATGCCTGCCAAAGAGTGTGACGTGTAGTAGAGCCTCACCCTGCACTGATCAGATCTCTTCTTTCTCCCCTTCCCAACTGGCCCTCTTCTCTCTACAAGCTCTGCAGTCCACCTCAGGCAGAGTCAACAGAGCTGGTAGGTAGAAGGGTAACTATAGGATGTGGTGTTGCTCCCTGGAGGCTTACATAAGCTGAAGGGCTCTTTTACACAAGGGAAATTCTCCAGAGATCACTTTTTTCATCCCGTTAAAATTCATTCTACACTGCATATTCCTCAAAGGGAACATTTTCCGTATATGCCGTACAAAGCGAAGTTAGCAGATGTGGGAACATGGCCCTGACTCTTCTGTTCAAATAGTGGAAGAAAAATGATTTTGTATTTACTTTTTTGTATTGTTGCTGTTTTTATTTATATTGTTACTTTTAATAACTACTTTTGGAGTAAACTAGATACTTCGCGCATTTGTAGATGAGCTCCAGGAGGCAGGGGATGGGCTCTTTAATTAGCGCAGTTCTGACAGCCACGCTAATTAAAAGCACCTGGAGTGTCATATGTATCAGTGTCCCCATGCTGAAAAATGGTAGTGGGGCACTTTGAAATAAAGCTCATTGAACCAGCTTTAGTTTAAAGCACCCCACCACCATTTTTTAGTGTGGGGATACATGACTAATTGAGTCTACTCTGACGTGTTGTAATTACAGCATGCTGGAGCAGCCTCCCTGCATGTGTATAGGAGCCCTTTGGCACAAATTAAAAAAAATAGTTGGCTCAATTTTCAGGCGACCAATTTGAGATGTGTAATAGGAGTATAAAGTCTTCACAAAAGTGCCGGGAACCTGCTGTCTCAAAATCAGACTCGTAGTTTCACAGTAGCTAGGGTCAGGAGGGACCTGAACAGATCATCTAGCCTGACCCCCTGCCAGGCAGGAATGAATGCTGGGTTCACAAGACCCCAGGCAGGTGATCGTCCAACCTCCTCTTGAATTTGCCCAAGGTAGGGGCGAGGACCACTTCCCTGGGAAGTTGGTTCCAGATTTTGGCCACCCTAACTGTAAAATATTGCCTTCTGATCTCTAACCTAAACCTATTCTCCATCAGCTTATTACCATTGTTCCTCGTCACCCCAGGTGATGCTGGGGAGAAAAGGGCTCTGTCTATTTGCTGTTGATCTCCCCTGATGAGTTTGTAGGCAGTCACCAGGTCCCCCCTCAGCCTCCTCTTGCTGAGGCTGAACAGGTTCAGGTCCCTCAGTCTCTGCTCATAGGGCCTGTCCTGCTGCCCTCTCACCAAGCGGGTGGCCCTCCTCTGAACCCTCTCCAGGCTGGCCACATCCC